GTCCTTTTGTTTGATTTTTGCCTTTGACAAATGTATAGAGGAAGTCTCTTATTGCTTTGGCGTTTTGCTTTCTATATTATTTAAATTTAAGTTTGTCATTATCTTTTTTGTGTATCTCAACCTACAATTTATTTAGTAGGTTGTAAGTTAACAGGAAAAGAGCTATTTTTAGTGAATGACTTTCTAGGATCAAACAAGTGAATAAAGCCAGACAGTCAAGTCAAACCAATTTTTAAATGATACGAGATTATTGTTTTTGGAGTAATTTTCATTTCGTTTGAAGAGGCGAGTATGAGGGTTTGAAAATTGGTCCTACATGAGTCTGTCCTGCTCTGACGATGTCCCTCACATGGCGGACGAAAGATCAGAATTGATTCGTCGTTTCGCAGTGCATTGCGAGGGCCTACTCGCACAAATCTACAACCACAGCTCCAAGGCAACCCCTCCACAGCCTCCACTGGAAGCAATTTTCGAATCCCTTCCACTCGCCTCTTCAAACGAAATGAAAGATACTCTAACATCAATCTATTAATAAATTTTTCGAGACCCAGTTTTTCTACATACATGATGCTATATTTGCTTGTTTTACAGCGCTGAAGGAAATCTTGAATTCATTGATGCAAACGATGCCCAATCGTTGATCAAAGTTGATCATCCAATGGTTAGCGAGATTGCATGGGATCCTACTGGCCGCTATATTGCTTCTTATGTAAGCTCTTTCTATCAGAAAAACGATAATGGAATCATCTTTTGGAATTGTATCGGTCGGCAAACACATCGTATGCAATTAAATTTTCTTAAGACTTTTGTTTGGCGTCCACGTCCTCCTAGCCTCCTCTCAGCTGAACAACTTCAAGTAAGCCGGATTCTTAAATACCTCTAGTGTTTTAATTTTTCAAAAATATACACTTATTTTGCGATAAATTTTATTTTATATATACCCATGCTAAAATTTCTTAAGCATTTGACGAGAATAAGATAATCTTTAACCATTTTATTCATTGGAGTCCAGAATACATTCCACTATATTATAACCTAATTAGCATTTTCAAATATCGTCTTTTCTGGTACACTTTTCTTAAACCATATTGCTTCCTTATATTAAAGGAACTTAAGAAAAGCATGCACAAATACAGTGAGCGCTTTCGGAAGGAGGACATTATGCTAGCCTCTAAGGCTTCTCGTGAGCTAATCGAGCGACAACAAAAGCTGGCTACCTCGTATGCTGAATGGCGCAAGTCCCTTTCGAAACGTTATGATGAGGATGAGCCTAAACGATCGGCTATAAGAAGTGAGTTTAATAACTATATTTTAATTGAACCATCCATATTTTATTCATATTAAATTTTTCACTTTCATTTTAATAGATGCCGTCGATTTAGCCTCTGATGAACTCGTTGAAGAAGAGTTGGATATGCTTGTTAGTACGACGCGCGAGGTCTTGAAAAAATATGTTGGGGAATAAAATAAAGATTATTTACCTTTGGTGGCTGCTTCTTATTTTATTTAGAATTAGTATTAGTTAGTTGTATTTCTAAGGATGAATCATTTCGTAGTCGTTTCAGAATAAATCATAGCACTAAATTAGTTGCTGTTTCCTTAACTATTTCACGGAGGTTTCCCATATTTATTTGACTTTGGAAACGTTACTGATAAAATAGCATCTTTAGTCTGATGAGATGTTTACAAAAATATATGGAGCTATGTATACAGCTCAAAGTCTATCACAGTAAAGCTTCTGCTTCGTCTCTGACTGAAAAGTTGAAACGTCCTGTTTTTATCAAGTCCATAAGGCCTTATTTTACTTAAACCGCATTATCCTTTATTCTGTACTAAAAGATTGTTGGAGAATTTCGTTTTGTAGTAAACTGCATTATGAAGAGATTCGTAGGTTGATCTCACAAGAAGACGATGGCTGATTCCCATCGTATTCTAGCCGATTGGCTTTAAATAACGCTAAGGGTGACGTAGTTCATGAGATATCCTTCCTCGCTTTGGACTAAAATGCGCTCTGCATTTTTCCATCCTATGATGAACATATCAGAGCTGGAACTCATTCAGCGGAAAGTATCGAGCTAGGATTAGGTCAAAAATAGGTATGTAGAACAA